ATTAGCCAATCACAATCTAAAAACTAATTATTTACCTAAAATTAATCCTAACACGACAAAATAATTGAAAAGAAAAGAAAAAACAACGGAATATTTACAAGGTCACTCTCTTCTCGCCCAGAGGCCTATCAGGGCATTTGTAACTAGACATAACATAGGGGGCCACGGTAAGGGGGGGTTGTAACACATAGGAAAATACATAAAGGAGTACGTAGCTAACCTAATAAAGACGGAACGTTATTGTTATAGAAGTAGTTTTATGTTATCTAGGAAGTTAATTAATACATTATAAATAATCGATGTTTTCAAGAGATAGTAGGTGAGTCACATTAGTGGCAAGCGGAAACTTAATATCAACTAACTTTTTTAAGAGTTCTGCTGTGGCTCTTTTATAGTTTTGGCAATTAAAAAATATATGGTCCAGGTCACCTGGAGTACCACATGTAATGCAGTTATCTGAGTCGAGAACTCCGATTCTATTTAGATGTTTTGGAAAACAGGCATGGCCTAACCTTATTCTGCAAATTGTAGTGATGGATTTTCTAGGAAAATTTATGTTCTTGAACCATGGCGAAATAGGTAAGTGATGTACAACTTGGGAATATTGGCTCATTGGGTTTTGTATTAGATATTGTTTAAATGAATTTGCCCAATTATTATGAGATTTGTATTTGATTGAGTTTATACAATCTGATAAACATAGTTTGTAACTTATATTTAGTTCTGATAAGGCACTTTCTTTTGCAAGACAGTCGACATGTTCATTATGGGATATTCCCGCGTGGGCTTTGACCCACATAAAATGGATGAGAGTCCCGTCCTTATTTAATTTAGAGAGAAGGAGAATTATGCGGAGGATATAGGAATTTAAATAGTTATAATTAAGTGCTCTGTTTTTTATATTCACTGATACACTCAGAGAGTCCGAAAATATAACTGCATGCTTGACTTGGTTGCATTTAATATATTCTAAGGCGTTAAGGATCGCTATGGCTTCTCCAACAAAAACAGATGTATTTTGGGCCAATTTAATTTTAAGTTCAAATTTTGTTTGAGGTATATAGATGGCGCATCCAACTTTATCAGAAATTTTTGATGCATCAGTGTATATATGCAGATGGTCTTGAAATTTAGTTTCCCAATTTTTAACAATTATATTATCAAGACTAGGAATATCCAAAAATGCAGGAACTATGACTTGAGGTTCGTAAAGAAGGTCAAAATAGTTTAAGTCCCAATATGGCATGTCTGAGATTTTTAACAAATTACTTAAATAAACGCTGGATTCACGAAATCCGGAACATAACGGAGGGGAATTTTTCTTTGACCAATATTTGTTAGTTAAGTCAGAGACACTCAGCTGTGAGATCTTGGTAACCATAGGTAACTGCTTGAATTCGGCTTGCAGGACATACTTTTCACTAAGAAATTGTCTACGATGTTGTAAAGGTGGCTCCAAAGTTTCTACATGTAAAGGAAGTATAGGCGTGGACTTCATAGCTCCTATACATATACGTAACGCGTACTTGTTATAGATGGGACATTTTTAACTCAATAAGAAATGTAATTTTTTTAATATCTACAAATTGTTGTAGATATTAGATATGTTGTATAATTTCATTCATGTTGATTAAAGTTTTGTCGTATTAACAACTATAATTATCGTTACGTTATTACTTTATTATTTTATGAAAAAGACCTCTGCTACCATCCGTTACTTTAATCATAATTTTACCTTTTAGTTACTTGTGTTATTCCACGGATAAGTCTGTTTGAAGTATGGAGTCCGATAAATATTAAAAAAATAATAGGATGTATTTACATGTTCCTATTAGTTTTGGACTACAACAATGTGAAAGGACGTTAAAACAAACAGTAACGGACAAAATAAAAAAAATAGATACCAAATTACTGAAAGATTGCAAAAAAGTTGTATAATTAAGGTCAAGTTTTTAAAAACTAATGATTTCTGGTTGGATGGAGGAATTGATTTTAGTGAACTGGAAAAGTTGATAATAGACACGCCTAATCAACCATCAACTTCCAAAAGAGCTGATCACCCAAGGAAATTATTTGAAGAACTTGGTGAAAAAGCTAAAAGGCGCAGAGTTCTGTCATTAATTCAGTCGATCCCAAAATACGAATTAGTGTATGCTGCTCAAGCAAGTCTTCATTTTGAAAGAAAACTTGATGCCGCAACTCTTATTAAGGCAGTAGTTTATTCGTCACCAAAGAGAGCAACACAAATAAAAAAAGCTTACCATACTTCTTAAAATCCAAGCCGATGATGATCCCGAAGCCTATATATTTGAATTGTCACCTCTATATGTAAAAATTCGGGTTTTTGATTATCTTTTAAAAATATCATGCAGATTAAATGTTAAAAAATGGCAAGCAAGAGGCTCAAGAGTTAAAGAAAGCATCCAAAAGCGAAAAAAATAAAATTCAAAGGAAACTTAAAGATAAAATGGGGCTCTTAGTGGATATTGTAAAATAAGGTTATGGGAACTACCAATGATGTAAACACAGCTCGTCGATTTTTAGAAATTTTTAAATTGTCCAGTTCCATAACTGGAATAGATGAAAGTTTGATTGTACATTTTTCAGTATTGTTACAAGCCATTTCATCTACTTACGAAATTGATTTCAAAGAATTTCAAACACATGCAGAAAAGACTGGCCATATATTTAAAACTTTATTCTTGGTATATGCCAGTAGCGACTCAAACTTTTTTTACACGGAGATAAAGCATGCGGTTCTTCCAATAGGACAGTTATCCGAAGATGCTCAAGAATGCAGGCACAAAGAAATTAGAAAATTTAGAAAAACTGGTAATAGAAAATTCTCCAGAACAGCAAACTGAGAAGTTATTTTTCATATGCTCCTAATTTCGTCAGATCCAAATGATAATAGCATCAGAAAAAAATCGTTAAGAACTGCTCACAACGTAGCCTGATCCATCTTTCTAGCATATCCCATACGTGCTCTCTGCGATTTAGGACGGAACTTCTGCTAGGATTTCAATATTGACGTCATGGAAGTAGTTTCTAACAATTCTGGCTATTTGCGGACGAGCATTATCGTGCATTAAAGGAAGTTGCTCACCAATAAACCCCGCAAAAACCACCACATGCTCTTCCAAGATATGATTAATGTACCTTCTAGCCATTAAAACACTATATTAAAACCCTCCACCAAAATTGACCCTCTCACTAATTGTATTGCGCATATCTTGCTCCTCGCCTTTTCCGCACTTTCTTTTTGTCCATCTGGAGCCCTCTGGGCAAATTTGGACACATCGGAGAAAAGAATATTGCTCCACTGCCCAATATTCCAATTGAGATGTTCGAGTCTGAAATTGAGACGATTCCGGAGAAACTTGGGGCCTATTGCTGGTCTTCTAACAGATACATTTGTTTCAACTAGCCATCTCCTAATAGTTATATCGCTCACGTTGACCTGGCGCACTTCTTGCAATTCATTCCATATTTGAACGGCAGGTATTTGTCGATCTCGCAAGATAGAAATCACGATGAATCGATCATCGCGAAGAGTTGTGCTACAATTTCTTTCAGATCCGGGTCTTCTGCGCAATTCGCCCAATTCTCGAAAGCGAACACTTGCCCTGTGGACATTGGATCATGGAAAACCAAATCTTTCAGTGACTTCGCGGATGCTAAAGCCACCATCAATTAAAGCAACTGCTTTAGCAAAATATTTCAAAGAAAAGGGCATTTTCGAAAATTACCAGCCGTTAAAACAATCGGCGGAATGCAAGCCAATACTAATAAATGATTTCTCATAGTGATTAACCATGTTAAAATTCGTTAGTTTTTAAAATGATAATGAAAAAGAAAAAAATGCGAGGAAAAATTAAGAACAAAACTTCAAGAGTTCAAAAATAAATAATTCTACATATTTTGTGCACATTAAGCAACATTTTAATTAAAATTATACCAATTTTCTTACCGTCTCACTTTTGTGCCGATCAGTGTATTTAATTTTTGATACATATTTTGCAAACAAAAAAATAATATACTGAAATAATCAAAATTCTATACAGATTCTATGTAGAATTAAAATATCTCATAACAAAAATTGTAAGCGCATATATTTCCTTAAATTTTCTAAAAAACTACTGAGCTGTGACAGCCACTATTATTATATATTCATCTACAGTGACTAGATTAAAGACAGTGGCAATACATGTGTATCAATTCCAATTAGTCGGCAATATGTTTAGTTTAATCATTTTATATGGTTTGACGATAGCGTTTTCGTCTGTCTTTTATACCACGTTCTATGCTTGTTATATTCGTTACGTTTATTGAAAGTAATTTGGAATTATTAATGTTTAAAGTGATTGACATCTATCAACCATTACTAAAACTTCACACTTAACAGGTGGATCTGAATAGACGTAAAATAAACCAGTAAAAATAAATATTAAACTTAATTTGCTAATAATACCATGACTTTTTTATTTAATATTACATACCGTATCCAATAAGCCATTTTATGGGAATTATTTATTTATTTGCAATCATTCCATTAAAGATGGCACGATGGTATCGCCACTGTACTTAATTTAGTCACTGCATATTGGCTTTGCTGATTCGGATCAAATTACGGTTTACATGGTTAACACTGTACATAAATAATTTTTGTTGTTCCTATTGAAGCAATAGGAAACAATATGTTCAATGCTATGGTCAAATCCTCTGTAGTATCTAATATCTCCTAAGGGTCTGCGTTAGGGCCGTTATTCTTTGTGCTATTTATAAATGACACCGTACATGATTTGAGATGTAACTGCTTAATGTATGCTGACGATCTAAACATTTTTAATCCGGTTTTATATGACTCTGATTGTCTACTTTTATAACCAGACTTGATTGTGGTAAATACATGATGCACTCTAAATCGATTACTACTCAACATATCATAGTGTCATATATACAAGAAACCATAATAGTATTTATTATTCTTGGATGAGTTAGGCATCGTGGCTTTGTGGTAGAGCGATAAGGACACTTGCCTCATCCTGGTGTTCTGGGTTCGATCCCCAGCCGAGAAGCTAGGATTTTTTTAAACCAGAAATTAATCCTAGAATACTCGTATATTGGGTGTGTGTCCATTGTTCTTAAATGTGTAGCTCTCTTCCGCACAAAGTACAAAGGGTTGTATTATCTGTGGTGTTTAAATTAATAATTTGTTAATAACATTTGATCCCAAGCTTTACATTAATATTCATATGGATACCTTTATTCAGAAGTTTTCAAAACTTAGATTTATCATTAAAAACTGAGCAGATTTTATAATTTTTAAACACTATTAATGTTAATATAATGCGTTTGTCCATCCTAAATTAGAATATGGCACCAACTGTCTGATATCCGTATTATCACACTTACGTAAATAATATTGAGCAAATTCAAAAATTTTTGAAATTTCTCGCTTTTAAAATGGATGCAAATTATCCCCCAATTGGTTTTCTTCACAATGTTTTGGTAAAGAGATTTAGTATACATGTGCTAAAAGACGTTTCTTTAGAAGTCTTCTATTTATATATAATCTCCTCAATAATAAAATATGTTGCCCAGAATTAATAACAAAAATTGAGTTTCACACTCATGAGCCAGTTGTATAAACACGACCTGAAAATATATTTTATTTGCCTACTTTGCAAGAATCTAAAAAACAACATATATTTTTGTATTTTTTGTTCCTTTACAAGGTTTTTAAAATAAATCAAACAGTTTTTCAATAACCAAAAATATCTGAATCACTTTTGACGGACTGTAACACCTTTAGAAAACATTTTTGAACCTGCATGCAAGAGGATTTTTTTTAAAATTTTGACCACAGGACCACAAATAAAATATACTAGAGAAAAAATATCCGACCAATCCGTAAAATTGCTTAAACAAAACTTAAAAACAATGATTACCGTAATCATTTTTTATCATATAAAAACAATTCTACAAAAAAAAAAAAAACAGAATAAATCAAGAAGCATCATTTTTTTTGCAAATTTTTGGCTTATTGTAACTTATTTCAAAAGTAGTAATTTCCGTAATTATTTACGCTCAACGGATTTTTCTAAAATAATAATTGTTAACAGTATGATTTGAACCCGTTTGCTCCATTACAACAATAAATAGTAAAATAAATGAAAGTACTGTTTTGCAAAGCCTTATAGGGATATTGCAAGATATTGTAGCTAATGAAAAACCAATAAACATTTATACGCCTTCTTCCGTAAAATGAAACAATCATGATAAAAGAAATGAAATATATTTTTAGTTCAAGCAGACTTCCTTAGGTATATTTTAGATTAAGATAATTATAAATAAAGCAACATTTTTCCCCTGAAACTAAAAATAGCTTTAAAGCACTTACGATTTTCTGTAAAAGACAGCCAAGCCAAGTAAGAAATTAAATTATAACACTTCTTTTAAATTTGATAAAAGTTAAAGGATAATTTTAAAACTTCGTTCATATTAAAAATTTATTACAGAATGACATTTTAGATGCTTATACAACTCTTGTCTCCAGTTGAGATTTTCTATTTCATATAGAAAAACTACTGCATACATACGTACTAAAATATAATGTTAATAATATACATATGTCTGTATATGTATATATACACCGTGTCTCAAGATTTGCAAATTGGGCGTAACTAGTAAGTGCGTCATTGTGCAGTAAAATAGATTTGCACTAAATATGGAATTATAGTACATTGAAAAGACCAGTAACGTGTTTAAGGCGTGTCATGTGTTTTAATAATTTTAAAATTTCAGTCCTTATAGCAGATCGGGAAGCTCGAGGGTGGGGCGAGGCTAGTTAGTATGTTATTCACGTGCTCACCTGACTCACTAATAAAGCTGATAGGTTGGGCTGCGTAGGAATGTGGGCATATGTACAAATTACATATTGCAGAATCTCTTGACACACGGTGTATATTAAGTATATAAAAATTACTAAGAGTTGCATTTAAATTGATTTTTTTAAACATCTTCCAGGAAATGCAGACATTATAATAAGTTACCTGCAAGGTATTTATACAAATCATGGGATGTGGGCAAACCACATTACGTCATCCAACGGCCGATTTCTGGTTGTTAGCTATCATCAGTATAATACAGATAAATTCGCTTATATACAACGAAGTGTCCAGTTTTGTGTAAATTTAAACTAACATAAGTCAGGAACTCGATATAAATGGTTGTAAAATCACCTAGTGACAGCCAGTTTATTAAAGAAATTGATGTACTTATACAATGGACTTAAATCCTTTATTCAAAAATTAAATTCATTCAAAAAAGCATGGCGGTCACCAAGGGCCTGTCCTAGAGCCCATTATATTCCTAATTTATATTAATGCTTCCTAATTCAATTAATGAAAATATCATTGCCAATGCGAGTATTATTTTATAGTTTACACAGTTTAATCATCTGCTACTCAAAATCGAGAATTTGTTAAATGTCCCATATATTGATTCTGACACCAAAAGGCTTTACCTTATATTAATTGTGCCTAAAAGCATCAAAAACAGAGACTATGAATTAAGTCTGCGCAATATGGAAAATGCAAAAATACAAAGTTCATTAAATTGCTAGAAGTCAACATAGACGCGAAGTTACCTTGGGAAAATCATACCGATTATATATGTCATAAAAATTTTAAATTTACTTTATAATTTTTGTAAACCCTGTATATCGGACATCGAAAATCTATGCAAATATCATTTTTTAGACAAGCAAAACGTTTTCGTGAAAAGTAAAAAATAACGAGGTTTTTCCTTTCCGGACAGTCAATCAGGGACAGACTATATTTAAAAATTAGACTGAAAAATTAGTATTATTATGACATAGACCTAAGAACATATGCTTGCCATATGCAGCATATTATTTATTTATTTTTTCTACAACCGAGCGAAAAGTGCAACTTTGCGCTTCCAAAAGAAAGCGCAAAGTTGCACTTTTCTGAGGAGCGAGCGACAAAGTAAAAGCTTTAGCATGGAAACCATAATAAAGAAATGTCTAGTGTATCTGCGACTTTTGACACAAAAAGTAAGCATTGAGGGTATTTGACAGATGTCGACAATTTTGTGACCAGCGGGTGATTTTAAAATACCCTTTAATTCTTCGCCTCGCTTTTCACCACTAAAGAAGGAGGAAGTGCTAGAAGAATTCCAAAAACATTTAGATTTTGTTATACATAGATATAAATCATAAGTTGTTGGAAAATTTTTTTGTGTAAGGGTCCTTATTTTGAGAAATACTACTTTTTTAACTTGCCGACGTTTCGGTAATTTTTATTACCATCTTCAGGGCACTGTAAGATATAAAATTATGATGTGTAACACTTGTAAAAAATGTAAATAAAAAAGTGTATATAATATAACATGTGGTACAAACAAGAAAAAAAAGTTATTAAATAAATAAATGGATATATGCACCTACAAACATACACAAAACACGTACATATACATATAAATCATAATATCACACTTGGTAAAACTGCATATGCAGTGAAAAATAATAAGTACTTACATTAATTATGAGTTTTTCCTGGTCACCATAAAATATATATAAAACAGGAAACAAACAGATAAAATCGTTGGGTATGAAACCTTTAATGTACTTATGTAACATATATACACATATATATATATTAAGGTACAATTATCAGACTCTAGTGTGTAATGGTAATGACACGAATATGAATCTTTCTAAACGTTAAAGTATGCAAAACACATGAGAAGGGATAAAAACCATCATAGATAAAAGAGAAAAAAAAACCCGATTATTTGCAATAATGGCAAGGACTGATTCACTGGTCTGCAACGAAATCCTCCTTTAAAAAATTATGCTATAAGTATGAAGATTTTAATGCTCTGAATCTATTCCCGTTGGCCGATTTTTTCTATCACGTCTAGATTTTTTTATATGAATTTTTTTTTAAATTTCATAAATTTTGTTTTTTTTTTTAAATTTTTTTTTGTCAACATCAAGAACAGTATACATACATACAAAATAAGTTTTAGCGAGTTGTAAGAGAAAGAAAGTAAAGTCACAGCGAATACTGCGCATGCGCATATCTACTACCATAAAAATCACTGTCAATACTTTCTTTCTTTCTCTTACAACTCGCTAAAACTATTTTGTATGTATGTATACTGTTCTTGATGTAAAAAAAAAAAATTTAAAAAAACAAAATTTATGAAATTTAAAAAAATTCATATAAAAAAATCTAGACGTGATAGAAAAATCGGGCCAACGGAACATAAAATCTTCATACTTATAGCATAATTTTTAAAGGAGGATTTCGTTGCAGACCAGTGTTATTTGTTTAATATTTTGTAAATAATGCATTTTAAATTATAGCTATTTTTTACCTAACTTATTAATAAGATTAAAATAACATGCGTTTAAGTTCTCAATGTCTTTCCTTGAATTAACTGACTTAATTTTCTTTATATTGATCATTTCTTGAAATTTTACCCAAAAAAATTTTCCAACAATTAATAAGTCGGTTTAAAAACTTTTCTATTACATAAATCATAAGATTACAGTATTTAAATAAATAATTAATAGGTACTGAAGCAATTTTTTTATTTTATTTTGCAGTAAATACCATTTTAACAAACATTTCTACAAAAACATGTGTAGCGCAAATTGATGCTCACGTTTTGGAAATCTGAACTGTCAAATTTGACGTTATCAATAATTATTAATTTTTACCAAACATATTTATAAAAAACACCGGTTGTAGAAAAATCCTGTGTGTAATTCGAGAGCAACCGCTCTCGAGAGATATTCGCGCTCCGCTACGCGTCGCGCGTCAAACTTTTCGCTCAGAGCGACAATATATCACTTTGCGCTCTTAATACACAAATAGCTATTAAGTACAACTTATGCAAAAGTTGCACATGAATATTGTCATCAAATTACTAGACTGAATTTCAACGGACATCTCTATATGCAAACTTGTATCTAGTTCTTTCTTTTTGGGGCTATTTCATCAGAAGATGAAGTAGATAGTAACAAAATAATAGATTTTATTGCCGA